GAGCTGTTTCGGACTTGGCGACCCTATACACAGCAGACTGAAACACTCCCGGTCCCATCCTGTGACAATTGTGAGGGAGATCCCAGTTGTGTCACAATATTGAGCCCTTTTAAATAGCCATTGCCAAAAGCTTTTCTTTGGGAGTTTTAAAAATAAAATAAATATATTCTTTAATGAAATTAAAAAAAAAAAAAAAGTTCAAGACATTTTCAAGTAAATAAATCTGCATGTCAAAACATGCAAATGCCAAAACCACTCGGCAGCAGAGCCTATCTTTAAAAGTGCAGACCACACGTAATACAGTAAGAAGGAAGCTAGTTTACATTTTGAAAGCCTTTTAATTATGTAGCAGCATACAGAAGTTATTGAAGTTTACTGAGCAAACTCTCATTTTTATAAGTCTTGTTGTTGTTAAACGCTGTGGAGTCAGTTCTGACTCATAGTGACTCTGTAGAGGGTTTCCAAGGAGCAGCTGGTGGATTTGAACCACTGACCTTGTGGTTAGCAGTCAATTGTTTATCCTACAATGCTAAGCATAAAACAAAGCACAAAAAACCCAACAAACGTGTTAGGCAGTTAAAACAAGGACGAGGGGTTAACCACAGATCAACCACAAAGAATGCAGAAAACGACCGGGACTACAAGGAGATTCTAATAAAAGGAAAAATAGAAAAGGGAATTTTCCCCAAAATCAGGCATATAGAAAAAAAGCCTAAGACTGAGTGGATGTAATGGGAAAGAAGTACATCAGATCCAGGAAGAAATGACCAACTGTGGGCCCTATATTAAGACAGTAACACACAGGGACCAGGAGATAAGTTATCAGGAGCCCACCCTTGAGGAAAAGCAGCATAAAAAGTGAACCCAAGAACTCACACGGCGCTGCCCTGCACTTGTGAGGTGGAACCCTGTTCTCCTCTCTGGGAGGCTGTAGTCTATCCTTTAATAACTCTTCTTGCTTACGTAAACCTCCGTCTCTCTGGTTCCTTTGGTGTGTGTACTGTGTTTGTGTCCTGCTGATTCTTTGGAGAGATAATGGGACCAGACTAGGCCGTCTCATTCCTGCTGTGACAAACCCACTGCCATCAAGTTAATTCCAACCCATAATGACCTGTTGTTGTTGTTGTTTAGTGCTGTTGAGTGATTCTGACTCACAGCTACCCTGTGTAGGCTTTCCAAGGAGCAACTGGTGAGCTTGAACCACCGACTGTACAGTTCAAACTGACCTTCCAGCCCAGCAAATTAATCCGCAGCATCACACCATGACTCCAATTACCCTATGGTGGTAGTTATGTGCCGTGGAGTCGGTTCCAACTCATAACGACCCTGTACAGGATTTCCACAGCTGTAAATCTTTATGGGAGCAGAAAACCTCATCTTTCTCCTGTGGAACGGCTGGTAGTTTCGAACTGCTGACCTTGAGATTAGCAGCCCAACTTGTAACCATTACACTACCAGAGCTCCTTAATGACCCTATGTTGTTGTTGTTGTTGTAGTTAAGTGCCGTTGTGTTGGTTCCGACCCATGGCGACCCTGTACAGGGTTTCCGAGACTGTAAATCTTTAGGGGGGAGCAGAAAGCTTCATCTTTCTCCCGTGGAGCAGATGGTAGTTTCGAATTGCTGACCTTGCGGTTTGCAGCCCAATTCATAACCACTGTAAAACTGCCCTTAAGGTTTCCAGAGTTTGCAATCTTTGTGGAAGCAGACTGCTTCGTCTTTCTCCCATAGAGTGGCTGACAGGTTCATACTGCCCAACTTTCAATAAGCAGCCCAGCACTTAACCCACCGAGCCACCAGGACTCATATTTACATCATATACTTTAATGGATCCAAAGAAATCAACCGATAGTTTGTATCTTGTCACTGCTGCCTGTTGTCCAGTCGATTCTGGCTCAGCTTGACCCTCTATGACAAACAGAACCACACCATAGGGCAATCATTACAGGAGTAGATGGGTTTGAACTGTTGACCATTTGGTCACCTTAATCACTGAGCCACCATGGTTGCTGTTTGTATATAAAACCAAAAACCAAACCCATTAGTGTTGAATTGATTCCAACTCAAGACGACCATACAGACCAAGCAGAACTGTCCCACATGGTTCCAAGGCCGTAAATCTTCTGCGAAAGGAGACGGTCACAGCTTTCTCCCAAGGAGCAACTGGTGGTTTGAACTGCTGTCCTTTCAGTTAGCAGCCAGAAGTTTAACTACTACATCACCAGGGCCTCTGCTTGTATTTAGAAGATACAGTTGCATGTGGCCCTGTGGGCCGATGTGCTGGACTGTCAGGTTGGTTTGCATCGCAAGATCAGCACTTCATGCTTACCAGTCGCTCCTCAGAAACCCTATACAGGGTTGCTATGAACCAGAACTGACTTAACAACACTTAACAACACCAATGTTTATGCTGAGTCCTGGTGTGGCACTGAAGGATAATGCACTGGACCACAAAGTCAGTTTGAATCGCAAAGTCAGAGGTTCAAAACTCACCAAGTCCACAGTTTGCGTCCACCCATTGCTCTGTGAGAGAAAGATGAGGCTGAAGTTCCCCTGAAGATTTAAAGCCACAGAAACCCTAGGATCTCTATGACTCGGAACCCACTGCATGGCACTTAACAATAAACACTCCAATAGCAATTCTTCAACTTCATGAATTTTTGAATGGTCAAAATGGCTCAAACCAACACAGGAAAAACCTACCTTTAAATTCTGAGTTCTTCTGTTTAGAGATCATCAACATCTCTCCAGCACTTTTTACTTTTAATTTCACTGGACTGCGAACCACAAGGTCGGCAGTTCAAATGACCAGCTACTCAGAGACCCTACACAGGGTCCCTATGAGTTAGAAACGACATGACAGCACTCAAAAACAATATTAACTAAACTGAAAAAAATTATTCAAATTTCATCACGGCTTTTTTTTTTTACCCCCCAGCATCCTACTAAAACTGGTGTGGCACTGTAGGATCAGCACTGGACTGCTAACCAGAAGGTTAGTAGTTCAAACCCACCATCTGCTCCTCAGAAATCCTATAAAGGGTCACTGTGCGCTGACAGCACTTAACAACAATACCTTCAAGAAATAGAGGACAACTGAAATTTCTTAATCCCTAAAATTGAGTATTGGAACTCAAAACTAAGGTTGGCCCAAGTATTACAGTAAATATCACACTAGTGAAATACTCAAACCAAAGTGACTCATTCATATTTTAACGAGTATTATTAAGTAGGTAGCAGGTATCTTAGAAACGGATCCTCCAGCCTCACTTAAGCGTTCAGATGATGCCAGCATCAGCCCACATTTGGATTGCAGCCTCATAAAAGACGCTGAGCCATAACTGCTCGGCGAGGTACCTCATTCTTCATTCTTTGCTACCACTGTTTACTCACAAGTGTAAGTCACAGCTAGGTAAAGTGATAACTTACACAAAATTTCTTAAGCAGAGAAGTGTTTAGTAAATACTGTAATAATAAAAAGTTTTTAAACATTTTCTAAAATAGACAAAGAAAAGAAAGTTATAAATTTCAGAAGTAAATCAACTACAGATCCAAGCTAGAGAATGCTAGATACATTCCTAATGTAATTCCCACTGATTAATCCCATTGACATTTTTATAAACTAATGACTTGAAAGGCTAAGGATAGCAATGGGTTGTGGAGTGGGAGGAAAGAGGTTGACTCTCACTAGAGCGGGTTGCGGTCTTGGCTTCCTACCCTGAAATGGAATTGGGCTACAGAAACTGCCACTTGACCATGACTATTCCGGTACTTGAGAAATGCTGGGTACTATAATGACCAGTCTCTGCCCCATTACATACTCCATGAAGTATCAAAAATACAGATCACCACCATCAAACACTTGAAACCATTCAATATCTGAGCCTCGTGACGGTACTGAAATAACTTGAGACTACCTCCTTTTCACTGAGCTATAAACCACATGGGAAATAACAGTCGGAGTTCTAAGAAAGTGTTAACATTTTCTGTTTTAAAAATGGTTTTAAAGATATCTCTGGTTAATAAAAGGTAGAGAAAGTTAACTTGATTTTCTCTATAGGCAGAAAAATGTTTTAAGTTTAGAATTTACTATATAGACCTATGGACTACTGGTGGAGTGCTGTAGGATAGGCACTGGACCTCGAACCACATGGTCAGCGGTTCAAACCCACCAGCTGTTCCTCGGAAACACTGTACAGAACTGATGTGTCAGAATCAACTGGATAGCACTTAACAACAACATAGAGACCTATTAAACAGAAGATATAAATTCATGTACAAAGGATTTTACTCTCTTATTGTTCAATGCCAGGCTGGCTGTGTGCTGATTCCGATGCACAGGGAGCCTGGATAGGGTTTCGGAAGCTGTAAATCTTTATGTAAACACCTCATAGACTTGAACTGCTAACCTGGTGGTTAGCAGCCCAACATGTGACCTACTATGCCACCAGGGTTCCTTTAAGTCTTAATAGAATTGAAATAATAAGATATGCCTATGAATGATTAAAGAGCAGCCATAAGGAGCTCTGCTATCCTCAGGGTCAGCAACCAGCGTTCCTGTGGGAGAAAGATGAGGCTTTCTGCTCCCGTAAAGATTTACAGCCTCGGAAGCCCTGTGCAGGGTGTTTCTATGGGTCAAAATTGACTCCATGGTATGTAACAACAACAACAACATAACTGCTATAAAACTTTACGGAGGCCTGTAAGAGATTTCCTCTTTCAAGGGGAAACATTAGTTTGTTTTTCTATTATTTTTAAATGCTACTTTAAAAACATTAAGGGTAAATTCAAAAACAAACACCAAACGTTGCCGTGTTGTTTGTTGTTGTTGAGCACCGTCAAGTTGGTTTTGACACATAGCGATCCTGTATGGGGTTTCCAAGGAGTGGCTGGTGAGTTTGAACTGCCAACCTTGCTGTTCAAACCAACTTAACAACATTAAGGATAAATTTAAAAACAAACATAAAATGCTGCATGTGATGGAAGAAATGCGAGCATTTACCTTCTTCCCTCCTGTCACAAACTGCTTGCAACTGGATCTCACAAACTGCGGGTGCATGGCAATGATCTACAAGGAAAAAGGATCAAACACTGGTTTAGAAGTCACTGTTAAAGCACAGAAGTGAAAACCCCTTTGCATATCACAGGGAGTATGATGTAAACTGTATTCTGATTATTTATCTTTGTAGAAGTATTCTGAAACAATTAAAGGAATTCAAGTTGTGTTCACATGTACAAAGATTTCTTCTATGAAGTTAGAGCAAAAGTAAGACATTAGAACAAATTAGCTGTGGTGTCTGACTGAGAGAGGAAAGACCCCTCCCCTTTGTCAGTGGCAACAAAGGAGGCCAAGCGTGGCAGCAAGATGTCATAGCTTTTTATAACTGAATATGATTCAAAACAGAACAGAGAAAGAATTCGACAATCTCCCTGTCCAAGATGCCTTCTAATGATTGATGGTACCAAGAGTAATAGGGGTGCAACGCAGTTTCGCAAACATTTACTATAGTTACACCACGACCCTGTCAGTGGGAGAGACATCAGAGCTGTAGGAACCAAGAGGTTACAGACCTCAGCCTTTTAGGACCTTCTCTTACCTATAATCTATGTTACTATCCTCCTGGTTCTCATCCACTTGCCACTCAGCCTATACCTCCCATCCCAGGACATGTATGTCTCAAGTCTGCTCCTACTGTAGTCACGATTTGGTTTATTATGAATATATACTACCATCAACATGGCAGATGAGAGACAATGAAGTTCTAGTGAATCTACTCAGTACACCTATGCCTGCTGGGCTCACCTTCTGAGGCTATAAGCATGCATTTCCTCCGCCTCTTCAGCTTTCTAACCCTAAGCCATCCGGAAATCACTGACGTAATACAATTTGGTTTATTTCTAAAGTAGCCTATAAACTATTTATTTCTAAGCATAAACACATATACACAATTATAGTTTTATAAACCTTCAACTGAGGAGTCCGGTAGTGGAGTGGACTAGGAGCTGGGCTTCTAAACGAAAGGTAAGGAGTTCGAATCTACCAGTTGCTTCCTGGAAGAAAGATGAGGCTTTGTGCTCCCATAGTGATGTGCAGCCTCAGAAATCCTACACAGGGTTGCTATGAGTCAGAACTGACTCAGTGCCACACAAACACCACCACACCAAACCTTCACCTATATGTATTTTTCATTCTCATGAATTTATTACATTTTCCTTTTCCAATGGAATAAGTTGATCTTCCCACACTGTTGTTTTTAGGCCTTAGCTTATGAAACCCTCATTCCTCTAACAATTCCCATCTCCCAGATTAGCCCTTTATGCCTTCAATGTTTTCTTAACCCACCTTAGATTATCAGTTTCAAATCCTTTTCACATTCTGTTTTTTCAATTTGAAATGTCTCATGAAAATCCGTTTAGTTCTCTGATAATGCATAACTGTAGATATTGACCCTTATTTCAGACCTCCCTAAGCAACTCAATCACACATCTGAGTTATCTCTTATCTTAGACTCCAAGAAAAAAATGAAGACATTAGGGCTGCCTCCTGTAACTGTTCCCTTCTCACTGGCCAGTGTCACAGAAATTGGGCTCAATCCTACCTCCTTCATGCCTGTCTTCATGCCAGGCAGAGGTTGTAGGGCTCTGTTCTAAGGTGACCCTCCCATCTGGACTGTTGATTTCATTCATTACTACCATTCCAGTGAGTGACCCTTTCTGAAATTTACCCTCAAATAAAACATGGCCTGCAGAAATCTTCCCTGGACACTGGTTCTCTATCAGCTGCTCTTTCTTCTTTAATACCAAAATTTCTTGAATAATAGTCAATACTGGCTTTTCTTTTTGTATCTAATTATTAATATTATTGGAGTCCTGGTGTGGTACTGTAGGATTATGCACTGGACCACAAGGTTAGTTTGAACCACAAAGTTGGCGGTTCAAACTCACCAGCCACTCCTGGGAAACCATATACAGGGTTGCTATGAGTCGGAACTGACTCGATATTACTTAACAGCAACAATTATCAATGTGTGGTGAGCCTCCTGCTATTCAGCTGTCCTCACTAAAGCCACTAGTAACATCATAATTACCAAATAAATGACTTCACTCTACCTATGCTTCACACTGCCAATGGCCCTGATGCCACACATTTCTTTTGGAAATTCTTTTTCTCTTGGCTTCCAGACACTACCTTTCTGAGCTTCCTTCTGGCTTTAGAATGCTTCTTCTTAGACTCATTTGCTGTTTTCACTCAATGTCTTACCTTAAATTAGAGTTTTTCAGAGTTTCACTATTAGACCTCTCTTCCTCCTCTAGAGCTTTTAACTGGATAATATAGTTTAAACTGGCTTTCTCTTACTCAAATGTAGGTGTCAAATTTGTGTCTTTAGGACCAGTATCCACCTTGAACCCCATGCTCATGTTTCCTAAAACCTCCCTAACACCTCTACCCAGTGCAAATAAGCTCAGGAGTCAAGACCAAACTAACAAAGTCTTATTCAAACCAAGCTCTTCTTCTGTAGCTGAAGCCATGCCCACATGTCATCAATGAAGCAAGAACCGGAAAGCACCCTCAGCAATTTCACCTTTCATCACCTTCATTTCATCTGCCTCTGGTAGCGTAGTGGTTATGAATCGGGCTGGGAACCTTAAGGTCAGCAGTTCAAAACTACCAGCTGTTCCGTGGGACAAAGATGAGGCTTTCTGCTCCCATAAAGATTTACAGCCTCGGAAACCCTGTACAGGGTCGCTATGAGTCAGAACTGACCCCACGACACTTAGCAACAACAACAAGACTTGGCTAAATCTACCTCCGAAAGGCTTTCCAAATTAATTTCCTCCACTTCATTTGGAATCTGCACATTGCTCCTTTATTGAGACCTGGTAGTACCCCTGCATGGAATAATGGACTCGCCTTCTCAATTGTCTTTCGTCCCTATCACTCTCCTGCTTAATAAATCACCCTCAATCCTTAATAAATAGGCTTGGCTTCCTAAACACACACCAGATCCTAGCTGTTATTTCTAAGTTGATGAGTAAATGTTTGAATAAACAAGTGGAAAAAATGAATGGCTTCCTCCTTTAACTACCAAAATACACACTTTGCTACTTCTAGTCACATTAAGTACTAACACAGACCACTGAAAGTGTTATTAGCAAAAGCGGACTCTCCTGACCTTTGCTCCCCTCTCGTCTCTACTGTATACAGTTGCCACATTAATATGACTAAAGCTTAGTTTTAACTAAAGCTTCTTTGTTCATAAACATCCAACAATTTCTCTTTATCTACCAAATGAAGTCACGTTACATAAAGCCTGCATATAAAGCCTCTCCACGTCAGCCCTTTCCCAATCAGTATTTTTGTTGCTGCTGTGGTCAAGTGTTGTCAAGTCGATTCAGATTGATAGCAACCCTGTATATATAGGGTTTCAGAGGAGTGACTGGTGGGTTTGAACTGCTGACCATGCAGTTAGCAGTCCAGTACTCATAAAACAGTGTGCCACATCAGGGCCCTTTACTTTACTCACATTTAAGTTAAACTATTTGTCACTTTCTGAACATCGTCTGAACTTCCTAGCCTCAATTCCTATTATGCTGCCTTTACCTCACGGAAAGCCAGCATCTCCATTTATTAAAGCCTATTTGTACATCACTCCCTCTATGAAGCCATCCCTAACAAGGATGGCTAAAAGCTCCTTCCCTCAGCTCTTAAGTCCTAAACAGTGTTGTAATCGCAATGAGCTGTTAATCATAGACTGTGTGTGTGTGTGTGTGTCATCTTACCCAATACATTAAAGCTACCTGAGAAAACACTGAGACCCTAAGTACATCCCCTCCTTCTGCACAACCGTCAAGTGTTGTAGCCAGATCATCGTAAGTGTTGAGTAAGTAGATGCTGACTGACAAAACTAACAATGTGGGGCTGGTAGTTCTCAGAATATTATAATCCTGATTGCTACTGTTGATAAAACACTTAGAAAAATTAAAACGTACTGAATACTTACTTTAATGGGACAATCAAAAGTCTCATGAAATTCTTCTCCAGTATACAGCCCAAATACCTGCACCTAAAAATAAATGGACCAAATCAGTTCACCATGATAACAGCAAAAAACGTTGTGAAGCAATAAGAATACCTACTCTCATGAAAAAAACAAAAACAGACATTTAATAACCCGAAGGTCCTGGTGATCTCCATTATATATTCAATTAAACAATTCCATCAGGGTGACAGGGTTCCAGAGCAATTAAGCCTTTATAATTATCCCATGGATCCAGACCCATTTACGCAACACAGATTTGTTCTATTAAATGGATGCCAACTTTTAAAAATGAAATAGATACGTACAGGATATTAATATTTCTTTTATGAATTCCCCGTATCCTATTCCTAAAGAGCTGCCCCCCACCCCCACCTTTTCCTTCAAGCAAAGGAGAGTTTCTTTTTGAAGTCAAATATATAAATCTCCTGCACAGATGGATCAATGTGGTGAGAGATTAGATGGACTTCATTTACAATCCCATGCAGAATCCACTGAGAGTGTATCAACATATGATTTAATTTCCTGCTTATCAGTTCTCCCTTTAAAGTTATTCCAGGCTACTGTACTCATACTTAATCTCTTTTCTCAATGGTTCACTTAAATAAACAAACAAACATGGAATATAATATCAGGAGGTGCAGAAGGCAGTCTGGTCTTTTTTCTTAGTTCCTATGAGCCACACCACACCTGAGGCTAATGAGTGGAGCTGTATCAGACCAAGAGGGACCCCCTCCCACACTTACATTAATGAACTTCCTGAGGCATAAAGTAATCTATCATGTCTCTGTGGGAAGGCCAATAGAGCCCTGAGTGTGGAGGCTCTGATGAGCTTCCTGGTTGGCGAGAACATCTGCTCTCAGGAGGGTCATGAATCCCTGAGGATATGGAAGATGTACACTGGGACTCCTTCTCAGCCTATATGTCTCTTTCTATGTACGCTGTGTAGCTGCAATAAATATATGGTGGGAATATAGCGTACTCCCTGTGAGATCCTATGAGTTAGTTCAGCAAATTATAAAATTCAAAAGGACTATATGAACCAGCATAGGCTGGCATCTGCCTATTTGGCTGTCGGAAGGGCAGAATCCTTTTAACTTGTGAATTCTGTGCTAGCTCCGGTGGCTAGAGCCAGAGAAGTGTTACATGGACAACTGATCTGAAGGAAGGTGCCTTGCTAACTTGTGAGCTCTGATACTGTTGCATGGGACTGGGGTTAGAGGGTGAGTGCCACAGGGACAGCTAATGACAAGTATGAAGAAGTGGGCAGAGGGGACTGGATTCACGCTGATCCTTACCATCTGATTCACAACAAAGGCAGCGTTTTCCCTTTGTTGTGTTAAGTGTTGTTGAGTTGGTTCTGACTCATAGCAACCATGTCAAACATTTCCAAGGAGTGGCTGGTCAGTCTGAACTGTTGACCTGTGGTTAGCAGTCCAGTGCTTATCCTACAGCAGCATACCAGGACTCCAGGAAATAGTGTTATTGTTGTTGTTAGGTGCCATCGAGTCGGTACCAACCCATAGAGACCTTATGCACAGCAGAACAAAACACTGCCCGATCCTGGGCCAACCTCACTACTGTTGCCACGCTTGAGTCCATCGATGCTGCCACCTGACCAATCCATCTCATTGGGTGTCTTCCTCTTTTCCTCTGACCCTCCACCTTACCAAACACGATATCCTTCTCCAGTGACTGTTCCCTCCTGACAATATGTTCAAAGTATGTGAGACAAAGTTTGGCCATCTTTGCCTCCAAGGAGCACTCTGGCCGCACTTCATCCAAAACGGATCTATTAGTTCTTTTGGCAGCCCATGGCACTTTCAATATTGTCCTCCAACACCATATCTCAAAAGCATCAATTCTTCTACGGTCTTCCTTATTCACTGTCCAGCTTTCACATGCATATGAGGTTACTGAAAACACCATGACTTGGGTTAGGCGCACCTTAGTCCTCAAGCTGACATCTTTACTCTTCAACATGAAGCAACATGCAGCAGATTTGCCTAATGCAATACGTCGTCTGATCTCTTGACTGCTGCTTCCCTAAGTGTTGACAATCGATCCAAGAAGAATGAAGTCCTTGACAACTTCAATCTTTTCTCCGTTGATAAGAATGCTGTTTATTGGTCCAGTGCTGAGGATTTTTGTTTTCTTTACATTGAGATGTAATCCATACTGAAGGCTGTTGCTCTTTGATCTTCATCAGTAAACGTTTTAAGTCCTCACTAATACAGTACAAATCATAAATTTACAGTTTGAGAAATTTTTACAAAATAACACATAACAGTAAGCACCACGCAGATCAAGAAATAAAACATCTCCAAGAATCCAAGAGGCTCCTTTGTGTCCCTCTGCCATCAACAAAATCCTCAAACTAACCATAACCCTGAATTCTATCATCATAGATTAGTTTTGATGGTATTTGAACTTTATTCAAGGGGCTTCAAACAGGTGTGAAAGTGCCAGGAAAATTCACTCAAGTTATGATACCATTTTAAAAGTCATGCTCAAGTATTATTATAAAACCTTCATAATGCTCATCATTCTGTGACTACTATTTTTATGATCTTCTGTCAAATATGGGTTCCAATCATGGCACACAGTATAATGTAACACACTGCAAATTTGATTAACCTTGAAGTATTCTCTTAGAAACTATTTTTGAAATTGCAAATATGAGGGGCTTCAAAAGTTCATGGAAAACTTCCACTAATTTTATTTTATTTGGTTTTTTTTTTTTTTCTTCCACTACTTTTAAATTCCATTTTTCCACAAACTTTTTGAGTCCCTTAATACATGTATGCCCTACCTACCAACTTTCTTATTGCTCAGAGAGTATACAAATCACTACTTTTATATAGATGTATAAGCATAGGAGTGAAGTCCTGGTGTGGCGCCGTGGCCTAATAGGTCAGACCGCAAAGTCGTTTCAACTAAAAGGTTGGTGGTTCAAGCCCACCAGCTGCTCCTTGAAAACCCTATGTTGTTGTTGTTATGTGCCCTGGAGTCGGTTCCAACTCATAGTGACCCTACATAGGGTTTCCAAGGCTGTAAATCTTTACGGGAGCAGAAAGCCTCATCTTTCCGCCGTGGAACAGCTGGTAGTTTCGAACTGCTGACCGTGAGATTAGCAGCCTGATTCGTAACCACTACGCTACCAGAGCTCCTTTGGAAACCCTATACAGGGCAACAAATAAGCATAGGATGTATGGCACTTCTTCTAAAATGGTGGTTAAGTAGGAGAGAAAACAAAACAAAACACCATGTGGGGGTTGTATATATTTGCCCCAGGAAAGCTTGACTGATCCCAACAAATCAGAACAGTCGAGTGACAGTAAGTAAGGTCCTACATCACCTGAATCTTGCTGAGCAAATCAACTAATGCTTACAGGGCCAACTTGCTTCTCCCATCATAATCTATCTGTATTCAGTACAACACTTAAAATCTGATTCTAGCACTAATAACCTGAATCTGCAAGTGCCTGCATATACCTTATCTTGTTGTTATTAAGCGCCATTGAGTTGGTTCTGACTCACAGCAGCCCTGTATAGGATTTCTGAGGAGCAGCTGGTGGGTTCGAACTGTTGACTTTGTGGTTAGCAGTCCAGTGCTAAACCAACAGCGCCACAATCTTAGTGGCATTCAAACCTGACTGCACAATGAAAAAAATCCCTGAATACTAATGCCTAGACTATTCCCTACAACTTGTTGAACAATGAAATCAAACTTCCTAATGGGGTGAAGTCCAGTCCATGATATTTTAAAACCTCCACCATTGTTTCTAATATGTTGTTGTTAGGTGCCATCTAGTTGGCACCGACTCATAGCGACCTTATGCACAGCAGAACGAAACAATGTCTGATCCTGGGCAAACCTCACTACTGTTGCCATACTTGAGTCCATCGATGCTGCCACTTGGCCAATCCGTCTCGTTGGGGGTCTTCCTCTTTTTCTCTGACCCTCCACCTTACCAAACATGATATCCTTCTCCAGTGACTGGTCCCTCCTGCCAATATGTCCAAAGTATGAGAGACGAAGTTTGGCCATCTTGACTTCCAAGGAGCACTCTGGCTGCACTTCGTCCAAAACAGATCTATTAGTTCTTTTGGCAGCCCATGACACTTTCAGTATTCTCCTCCAACACCATAATTCAAAGGCATCAATTCTTCTACGGTCTTCCTTATTCACTGTCGAGCTTTCACATGCATATGAGGTTATGGCAAATACCATGGTTTGGGTCAGGATCACCTTAGTCCTCAAGCTGATAACTTTGCTCTTCAACACTTTAAAAAGTTCTGTGCAGCAGATTTGCCTAATACAATACATCGTTTGATTTCTTGACTGCTGCTTCCGTGAATGTTGATAGCTGTCAAATTGGTTCCAAGTGACCTGTATGGGGTTTCCGAGGAACAGCTGATGGGTTTGAACCGCTGACTTGACGTTAAGGCGGACCTAATGATCCAGTGCTTATCTTACAGTGCCATACTAGGGCTCCCACTGCATTCTCATCAGGTGGAAGAGCAAAAAAATTATTATTTAACAGATGATGCTGCAGAAAAATAAACTACTTATCTAAGGTCATAAAAGCAGAAAGTAAAAGAGTGGGAGCAGACTGACTGGTGACCACGTTCATCACTGATAAGGGGAAGTGAGGAAAAAACAGCAATGAAGCTGGGAGCTAAGCCCTACAACGTTCAATAGACTACTGTGAACCTGGATGGAGGCCCAGTTGGCCAGCAGTGTGGCAAGACCTGGGGACTCTTGGGCCCAGAGTCAGTGACA